TAGTGAAAATAAAGCGTTCTATTCCTTTGGTAGTATAAGGATCACTAGTGTAAAAAAAGTGCTTTGGTTAATACAAGCATCATCAACAGCAGTCATACAATACCGTTTTACCAATTTCATCCTCCTTATCAATACATAATTATTGAGTCTGTAGCCAATACTGATCGAAAACCAGAGGCAAATGATAGTCACCCATCAAAATTTAATATTTGTAAATGTTGAAAAAATGGGAAGCAGATAAGAATTACAAAGTCTATTTATAGCAGCAGTAATTTTCATCACCACAGCACCCAGTTTTCAAAATAATTCCTATTTTAAAGTACAACCATCATAAAAGGAAAAGGATATTTCATAAGTGACTGTTATAAAAGCTGTTATAAAACCAAGTCATCCTCTCTTTCTATAAGGATCAGGCATTCAATATCAATGAGCAGTTATAAAAATATGGAAATGATCTGGTCTTGGTTAACTACAACAATCGCTACTTTGAACAAAGTATTCCAGTCAGGCATTCTAGATTAGATGTGGGAAGGAAAATAATGTAGAATTCTTTCAGGGTGTTTTTTTTGGGGGGGCGGGGCGGGTTGCTCTTTGTATTTGTGTGTCTTCCACTAAATAAGACAATAGAAGAAACCCGTGGAAATCTGATCAATCAAGAAAATCAATCAGTTCCTGCAATATAGGAGTAGGCAGAATAAGGAGAAAACAATGAGAGTGTTAGAACTGCAGATGGAAGGAATACAATTTCATTGCACTGAATAACTTACAAGTAAGACTGAGTATAAGGAAGCAGGTTGAAAAACAACATTTTCTGTTTTAGTGTAACTGCACTGGTGACTACACCAATGAGATGGTCTCCTGGCCTGTAGTAGCTCCATGGTCTTTCTCTATCCAGGTGCACCGAATTCAGTGGGCACTTCATTCTAAGCTTCCCATAGACTGTCTGGGACACCAGTAACATTGAAAGCAGAAACAGGAGGTCCATAATTCATGGAGCTGAATCAATTGCCTGTTTCCAAAGAAGAGTTAGATGATTTCAAAGCACTCCCAGAAAATGCAATATGGAATGGCTTTCCTTTTTCAAACAGAAACAATTCCAGCTTCATCTAGAAAAGAGAGAAAGGTACATTCAGCAGCACAATCCCTGCATGTGTCCTCAACATTGTGCAAACCATTCAGCATGAGAAGATTCTTATATGTTTTTCTGATGCAAGACCCATTCCATATTGCTTTAGTCTGATGTTCTATCAACTGGAAAAGTAGCAGTAGACATCTCAAAGTCTGGGATTGTGATAATTACAGTGAATGTTAATTTGTTCTCTAGACCTCTTCCAAGACTCCACGTAGAAAGAGGCAGCTACAGAAAAGGATTTTTGTGAAATATGGCAGATACACCCCTCGAGACAATGGTTGTTATCTGTCCTGTCAGGACATGTCCAGAGAGTGATGCTGGAGGAAGATGCTCCAATACCCAGGGAATTGACTTCTGCTGTCCACCATTGTGGCATAATGATCTCCAAAGAATGCTAGAGAAGAGGTAGGTAGGCTTGACATAACACATCTCCAGGGGGCTCCATGGAATCACGCCAAATCTGACCTTCTAGGAGCTTCCGAGGTACCTAAGTCTCCCTGAAGGGATGATGAAAATAGAGAGGACACTCCGTCGATCACAAGGAGATCACAAACTCCTTGTTTGATTTAGAGGAAACTCTCAAGCTGGTAGGTGGTGTCAGCCTCGATCCCAGCGATGATGGCATTCTCCCGTCAACTGCACAGCTAACTGACAGTTCTCAGAAGCCCAGCTGATTGGCGCTGGAGGAGACAGTGTGTGGAACACAGAGGCCAGAAACACAGGCACTGAATGGTAGACTGCTGATAAGACATTGAGTGTTGATGTTGGGTGCTAGGGAGTGGTAAGGGGCATGTTCTTGCTATAAATAGAGTGCCGGGAGACTTTTCAAATGTCAATTACTCAATTGTGCCACACCTCAGGATTGCATAAAAAGTACTGTTTTTAGAGTTTTTTAGCTTCTGAATTCTCAAGACCTGGGGACTTGGATACTTGAGAGGAAGTCAGGGCTCATATATTTTTTCCTTTTCCTCTTTGTGCCACTTGTGGACTGGCTGGTCTTCTTGAGGATACTTTGAAGATAGAGGGTGGCAGAGGGGCTGAAGCATGTGATGGGTGTCAGAACCGAGGAGGAGCTGGTGCTGATGGAGGACCTTGCGCCAGATGCAGGTGGGGGGGACAGTGGTCAGCCTGCAGTGAGACCAAAGGCACATGATGTACAAGTTACCAAACAACTCAGCAAAAGCTGCCTTGTTTTGAGGTGATGCAAGGGCCCAATTCCTCCGCAGAGTGGTGGCATAGTTCGACCATGGCATGGGAAGCTGCCTTCAGGCCATCTGCCCCAGGAGTTCATGGTGCCAAACAGTTTGAGGAGCAGAAAGGACAGCTGATGGATGATGAGGAAGGGGAGTGGGACTATTTGCCAGCTTTAGGAAGCTACACCATGGAGGTACTATGGGTGTGGTTTGGAGAGGCCAGATGTTCCTTCCTGGTCTGTTTCTCCCTGAAATGTGGCTCTCGAGGGACTAGAAACTAGCAGGAACAGTGATTGGGATCTCATCTGGGTCCGGTACCACAGACCTGGTTCTGTTTAGCCAGTCCAAGGCTACGATGGGATACTGTGCCTCATTGTACCCAGGAAGCTCTGCAAGTGAGGCCATTGGATCAGGGCTCAGTACCAATATTGGCAAGTAATGTAATGGCAGGTGACACTGGGCCCAAAGGCTGGATGTTGGGCCCAGTGGCCTGTCATTTGGCCCAGCAGGGTTCAGGTCCTGGGCTACAGGGTCCATGTCTGAATGTGCAGGGTTCCACTGGCCCAATGGGATTCTGGCCACAGATGATGCTATGGGGTCCTCCGGCCTTACAAACAACTTTTGATGGGAACTCAGACCATTGTTTCTTAGCCAGTCTATCAGGCATTTGGACCAGTATGCCCATTTTTATACATCACAATGGGCTGTGGTAATGGCTATAATGGTGGTACTGGAGGGGGAAGTGGATGAGTACACGGCAGACTAGCATATTGAGCATACCCGGATGTTGGTGGATCCAGGAATGTTCCAGGAAGCACTACATGACTGTTTCAAAGACGGGACTCGAGCCCAACATGCAGAAAGAGAACTCTTGGCCAAGAGAAAGAGAACTCTTGGCACTAACCCAAGGGGCTCAGCCAGTGAGTTCCATGAGTTCTGCTGAGTAGCCGGTAAACTGCGGGCTTGGCTGGAGAGGTTGCTGATTCATCAGTTCTGAATGGGCCTAGACCGAGAGTTATGTTAAGCCTGAGTTTACTGGGGAATTCCGCTGTGAGATTTAAAATTCCCAAATGATTGTATAAATACTCACAACATGAAGACAAGTCTCTGGCTCACAATTTCAAAGGTTTATTGTAGGAAGAAAAGCGGTTGCAAGAGCGGCCTCCAAGACAATTCTCACTACTTCAACAATACATTTTATATCCCTGCACAGAACACGCCACGCCTAAAAAGCCCTCCCCTCACTTCCCGTATTTTCTATATGCTAAACTACCACCTTGGGGTCATCATGACGTTGTTTCCTGGGCCTCAGTGTTTTATCTTCTATTTATTCCTGGGCTGCCAAGCTTTACCTTTGATGTATGTTCTTATCTTATTTATTCTCCCTAGCCTGGTCAGATCTTCCTGTTGTTCTAACAATGTATCACGTCTTTGTGTAATGTATCATCTATATATGAACGACTGGGCTAGGATGTAACTCCTGTCACTAGAAACAACAAAAGGGAGGGGCTTTTCTGCAAGGATAGAGAAAGCTGGCAAGGGCACATCAAAAATGAATGGAAAAAAAGAATCTTCTAGTCTATTTCATATACAAAATGAACCAAAGAGTTTTTTTTTAATTTTGCTATATAATGTTCATTATAAAAGAGTAACTTATAATTTTCTCTCAGTAGCAATAGCACTTAGACTCATATACCACTTCAAAGTGCTTTACAGTCCTCTCTAAGCAATTTACAGAGTCAGCATATTGCGACTCTTATAAAAAATGCTTGATGGAATTGGGTAGGTCTAGTTTAATGGAAAGAAGAACAGGGTGACATGATAGCAGTCTTCTAATATTTGAGAGGTTGTCACAAAAAAGAGGGAGTCAACTTATTCTCCAAAGCACCAAAGGGCAGAACCAAAAAACAACAGATGGAACCTAATCAAGAAAAGAAGCAACCTAGAACTAAGGAGAAATTTCCTGACAGTTAGAACAATCAATCAGTGGAACAATCTGCCCCTAGAAGCTGTGAATGCTCCAACACTGGAAGTTTTTAAAAATATGTTGGATAACCATTTGTCAGGAAGTGGGGTAGGATTGCCTAAGCAGGGGGTTTAGACATAGAATAACAGAGTTGGAAGGGACCTTGGAGGTCATCTAGTCCAACCCCCTGCTCGAGGAGGAGAGTCTATTCCAAATATTACCCTCTACCTAGGATCGAACTCACAGCCTCCTGATTGTGAGGTGAGAGCTCCACCTCTAGGCCCTCTGAGAACATCTCCAAAGTCCCTTCCAAATATCTCTGGAGTGTCCACCATTAGAAGAATGAGATGGATGAATTGTTGCAATTTATAAGGAGCATTTATCACTAATCCAACCTCCCTCCCTTACAGCATATTTATTAGACACTCAAATAAGGATACCCTCAATTCTTTAGGAATTGTTTTGTAAAACTCTTATAGGGCTGCATTTCAGTTCATCTGTTATTTTATTTCTGCATGATTCAACCAGATGGATAATACACATCTTGAAATTATGCTGAATGAGGATGGAAGATACTATCTTCCAATTGCCCTTTGGTTATTTCAGCTCAAAATTGTTGCCCCAGGTCATGTATATGAGACAACTTGAAACAATTTCTATACTTGACCTGTTGAAATATGTTGAGAGTGGAAATTCCTCTAACTCACATTTATACATTTCTTCTGGTTGTAAGATACTCCTTTGTATTCAAGTCTGGCCTCAGAATGATAATGTAGCACTTGGGGATGAAGACGCAGCCCAGCAGCCCAGCACTGGAGGCCAAGATGGAGAAAACCTGTACAGCCACCATGTATTTCCCCTTGGTGCTCAGATAGGTGGGCAGGAAGGAGATCCAGACATTACAGAAGACCAGCATGCTGAAGGTGATCAGCTTGGCTTCATTGAAGGCACCGGGGAGATTCCTGGCCAGGAACGCCACCATGAAGCAGATGGCAGCCAGGAAGCCCATGTAGCTGAGGGTGATGTAGAACATGAAAACAGAGCCTTCATTGCATTGCAGAATGATCTCTCCAGGCTGGGAATGAAAGTCTGAGTCACAGAATGGGGGAGAAATTCCCAACCAGACGGAGCAGATTATAGTTTGGACACTAGAACAAGAAAGGATGATGGAGTTGGCCAAGCTCTTCCCCAACCATCTCTTCACTTGGTTTCCTGGTTTTGTTGCCAGGAAAGCCAGCACCACTGTGATGGTTTTGGCCAAGAGAGAAGAAACAGCAACTGAGAAGACAATGCTGAAAACTGTTTGTCGGAGAAGGCAAGTGGCTTTCCTTGGTTGCCCAATGAAGAGAAAAGGAGACAAGAAGCAAAGCAGGAGGGAGACCAGGAGGATGTAAGAGAGGTCTCTGTTGTTGGCTTTCACAATGGGAGTTTCTGGATGTTTCATGAATATGATTAAAACAAGGCCTGTGGCTAAGAACAAGAATAGGGCAAAAGAGGATAGAATGATTCCCAGATGTTCTTCATAAGAAAGGAAGGATATAACTTTGGGGATACATTGGATTCTGTCCTCACTTGGATATTTTTCATCCGGACACTTGGTGCATTTTTCTGCATCTGAGTAAAACAAAAAAACAACATTTAAAAAAAAAATTCTGTACTTTCGCCTTTCAAGAAATACCTTCTTACAACACAATTTGTTACTCGCAGCATTTTCATAAAATATCTACAGAGAGCAGTTAAGTAGAATATCATTTTCTATTTTTAAAAAACCAGCAATATATTTTATAGTTTATGAAAATGGAAGAAGTCCTGGAACCTGAATGATTTCTTGTGTAATATCAGAACGTACATTATTAGATATAGATAATTATTCCATTATTCTTTCTATATACATTTCCTGGTTGCTGATGGATGGCTCTTTTTAATATACTTGATGCTGGATATCAATCTTTTGAAATCTGATTAGTTAGAAGAGTAAAGTTCTGTAAATAATTTGGAACCAAATTAGAAAGCAGAAGATATATGTTTTTCTGGCAGTAGAGAAGCTTGTCCAAACTGCTACATCTCCTATCTCTTTCTAGGCCTCCCCTCAAGGTTTTTCTGCTATTTCTTCCTCTAATTGTGCAATTTGATGATAATAGCAATAATGCTTAAACCATTTCACATTGTTTTTACAGTCCTCTCTAAGTGGTTTAGAGTCAGCCTATCACCCCCTAACAATCTGGGTCCTCATTTTACCAACAATGGAAAGATGGAAGTCTGAGTCAGCCCTGAACTGAGGAGAATTGAACTGCTGAACTGCTAGCAAAAGCAAAAAAAACTGAGCTTCAATCAGCCTTTTAACTTGTATTTTATGACAGTGTTACAGATGAATCCATTTCCACAATTCCTGTCCTTTTCCTTTGTGTCCCCCACTTTCATGAATGGAGATGGTCCCCTCAGGACAAGGAATGCAGTCATAGCAGCAAGCAGGCTCTCCTTCTCGCTTCTGCTTGACAAATCCAGGATGACAACTTTCCACACATTGGGACTGAGGCAGAGACTAAGCAGAAAAAGAAGAAACGCCAAAGAAAATATATTGGGATGAAGCATGTATGAAAATGGATGTAGACATTAACATTAGCCAAATAGATTCTGGACTTCACTTAGATAAATATGAAATCCTTGACACATTCCAATCTGATTTAGGAGAGATAAACACTGGCAGATAGTTCATTTACTCAGTCCCTTTGGCTTTTGGCATCAAACATTGCAATAAAGGATTTCTCTACTTAAGAAAGACTGGAGGGATAGAATTGAAAAGACTTCAGCCTTAAGTGACAACCAGTTTGGTTCCTCTTCCTAGCCTTGTTAACGTTTTTCCATTCTTCACATAACTATGATTATAAAGTGCAGTATGATGATCTTGCATTAAATTTTGGAAGATAAATTTTTTATTGTCAAAGATGTATTAATTTTGTATTATATTAGATTTATTAAAGTAAATAAAATAAAATAATAAAGAAAGGAACATTGGACTTGTAGGATCTGGACAGGCTTCTTTTGGAGTATATAAACATTGTAAAACTGCTTCCTTTTGAAAGGAGTCCAAAACCATCCCCCAATTAAGATATAAAGGGGGAAAAAACTCCTAAAATTAGGGCTTTATTTGTGTGTTTCATCCCTCAATTCCTATGGCTCTCAACTAGTAAGACCAGGGTTGGGATTCAAATTTTTTAACATCTGGTTCTGTGGGCATGGCTTAGTAGGTGGGCATGGCTTGGTAGTCATGTTATTGGCTGGGCGTGGCCAACTCAATATCATTCACATTGAGGCACGCATCACCTTGCCTAGCCTCTCATGACTGTGGGGATGCTGTAAAAGTCCTAAGTGTGAAAAATGGTCATAAGTCACTTTTTCCAGTGCCATTGTAACTTTGAATGGTCACTCCACACAACCAAGTACCAGCAAAGGAGGGGGAAAAAACTCCAGAGGAGTTCCTGAGACAGGAAGTCTAGTCCTGCCAAGAATGTAATAAGGGTTAACAGAGAGGCAGTTTCTGTAAGCAACACCAGAATGTTTCCTTCCTGACTTCCTTACAGGATTAGGCCAGTAATTTCTTCTAACAACCGGTTCTCTGAACTGCTTAGAATTAACTACCAGTTCTAGCAAATAGGTGCAAACTGGTAGAATCCCACTCCTGAGTAAGACTAAAAGTAAATGCCTAGTTTCCAGAACTGGGTGAGATGATATGCATGAGAGGTCATGAGAACTCATCTCTCAAAGGGGATCTTTTCATCTTCAGCAAGTGGGACAAGAGTAGGAGACCTGTGTTCAGCTCTGTATCTGAGGCTTTTTCTACGAAAGAACTACAATTTAGGGGACACCAACTTACCAACTTGCATGGAAACCAAGTCTACATTTCTTATTAGTTAAAGTTGGATCCTCCTTTTTGCTAAGAGGGACATAACATAGCTAACAAAATATGGCCTTCTAGGTTTTTCAGATGAATTACAAGCCAAAACCTAAATCTAAGTAGCATTTCCTTTCAAATTCTCCCTTCTTACTTCCAAAATGAGGAAGAGTTTTTCTTTGAATTAAAGTCTTGTTTCAATGCTTCAGTTTTCCAGGTTATTGGCATTATCTCACATCAAAACAGCCTTTATGGTTTCATGTGAATCAATATCTTTGGAGTTTCTTCTCAGAGGAGCAGAAGGGCTATTGCTTATCCCAGTGAGGTGAATGAGAGAAATGGATAACTCTGGCCAGGTGTGGGCTGGTTAAAAACATTATAGAACATCAGTGACCTTTCAAGAGAAACATTCCTCAATCTGGACAAGGTGAGGCTTATTTTTCACATACACCAACAGGATCTCTAACCAGTCATGACTATATTTCATCTGATTCAGTCCAAACCTTAATTCAGATGCTGGTTAAAAGAACCTGAGGCTACGAGCAACTGCCAGCACTTGAATATTTCTCACCTGCTTGATCCATGGTCTCCATCCTAAAGAATAATCACCCAGCATCCAATATTGCACATGACTGAATCAGTTTAAAAGAATATTCCTTACAGCATCTGAAGGACACTTTTGTGGATAGTACTGAAGTTTCCACAATCCATCTAACAAAATGTTAAGTTTTCTCTTCTGTATATGGAGATTAGAGTTAACCCATTTGAAATGGATCATAATCTTCAGAAAAAAGGAGAAAACACAGCAATATTTGACCCACCTTGTTAAGCAGATTTATCCATGAAAGAGCAAATTCGTTAATAATAACTCTCTGTCTTTCAACACTCCCCAGTTTCCTTTTCATCAAGTCCCCCTCGGGTGAAATCACCAAGAACTCAATATCCATATCTGCAGCTATTTCTCCGTTATGGTCCACGTAAAGATTCCAGTGGGAAAGATTGTAGAACTCATTCTTCTCCAGAAAGGGATGGAACTAGAAATGGGAACATCCAGGAATTTTAAAAGCAGAAACCTTGGATTGTTCTCCCTCCAGATATTTTCATATATTTTTCTTCTACAGTTCTTTTTTAATATGCCAACATGCTTAATTAGGAGAAGTGTTATCATTAAGTTAATAAGTAAACAAGAAAGGTTCAGCAAAATTTGTCAATCATATATTGAAAAAAAGAAAATGTAATGGGCACATTTGATCCATTATAGGGAACCTTCTATAGCAGGTATCAAATAAATTGAACAACAGCAAACAAGAAAATATTCATAAACCATAAATAAAGGTCTATTACAGGTGGCATCTACCCCTGACGAGAATTGTGAAAATGTTTAAGAACAAATCAGATAAATGTTGGAAATGTCATCAGATACCTGGTTCATATTACTATATGTGATGGACATGCCTGGACACAAAAAGATATTGGACTAAAATCCACATGGTTGGAAAAAATGGTAAAACAACAGGTAGACTTTAAACCAGATACCTTTTTATTGGGAATTATACCGGAAATATACAATAAAGAACTGAAATATTTGATTGTAAATGTTTTAACAGTGGCTAGAATTGTATTTGCTAAGAATTAGAAAAATGAAAAGATACCTATGCAGGAGGAAGTTATTAAGAAAATTATGGACTGTGCTGAAATGAGTAAATTGACATTTGAAATTAGAGAGCAAGCAGATAAACAACTTTATAAAAGAAGGGGATTTGTTTTATCAATGGTTGGACATAAAGACATGGCAATGCAATAGAGTAGATGATTTTGTAATAGACTGATATAAAATATAATGTAGACATATATAACCATTGGATGAAAGTACAATATAAACTTTAACCAACTGACACACTGTATATATATAAAATGGAAGATGATTTTATGTTTTTATGTTTTGTTTGTATATGTTTGTCTTAAAAAATAAAAACTTTTGTTTAAAAAAAAGATCTATTACCCAAAAGCATCTTTTCTACTAGTGTTATAACTGGAGAAGGGAAGGATAGAGCACTCTTCCAAAAACTGGAAGATGTTACAAAGAAGCTTAAGATCTGTTCACAATTATATGAGAGTCTGGAACATGATAAAATGAACTCAGTGAAGATATTCTGGCTGAATTAAAGGAAAATAATTACCTTAAGAAGAGGAGCAGTTTTATAGCTTCACAAGTGAACCAGAGAAGTCCAGTCTCCCATTCACTGGTTGGCTTAATGCAGAGACTCAGCAGCTACCAGTCAGATATTTAACTGGGATTTCAGCAGAGAGGAGGGTTAGGCTATAATCAGGGGTGGGATCCAACCAGTGTAACCACTGGTTCAGTGGCTATGCACGCTTCTTGCACATGTGTGCCTGACGCGCGCTGTGTGCGCATGTAATTAACAAACTGCTGAGCTGCCCAGACAGCTGAGCAGCACTTTTTTCCTGCTTTTTCAATCTCAACTGTGTTGTGCAAAGGAGCTGAGGTTGAAAAAGTAGGAAATAAAGGACAGGTAAGAGCCCAGGTGGGCTGGTGGGCCAAAACAGCAGCAGACACTGAACTAGTTTGGTGTCTGCTGATCTTCACAGCTACCGGTTCTACAGAGGTGGACAGAACTGGTAGAATCCCACTACTGGCTGTAATAGCTTGATGACAGTTTATAAAACAAAGGAATCATTCAGATAGGGAAAGTCCCCTTAAAATCCTGGAGGAGGAAGTAAAGCAATAACTTCTGTAGGAAAAGAATACTATTGCTGAAAAAAAGGTTTCAAATAATGTTTCAACACCAAGTCAGCCAGGAAGCGATGAAGTTATGTAAAAACAAGCCACCAAAAGTTAGAGTTGATTAAATTACCAGTCAGACTGTCTATGTGTCCGTCTTTGCCAGCTTCCTTGCAAAACTGACAAACTACATGCAGCAAGAAATTCCTGAGAATAATAAGATTAGAAAGTTTTTTCTACCTTGTACTAAATGCAACAAATGTAATCCTGTAGCAAAAAAGACAAATGTAATCACAGTAGAAAGTTAGCACCCACCCTTCCCCCAGAAGAATGAAATATTCCAGGAAATATTAAAAAGACCTCCCTGGATGAGAAAAGAAGAAACATGCTCTTTGAAAGCAGCCCCCACCTTTGTTAATAGCCCCAGAAAGACTGGTGCCACCCTATCTACAAGACAAAAGACCTTCACCCTCAAGACGTAATAGAATTAGCCTTCTACCCTTCTCACCACATGGCACTTGAAAAGAATGAATCACCCAGCAAGGTAAGCCTGGGACGGAAGACATCCTACAAAATTATCCCTGCATGGGAATCTGACAACCAATCAGACAATCAGAATACATTTCTTTCACAGGAACAGGAAGCAAGTTCAAAGCCCAAGAGAGAGTATCTCTCTCTCTCTCCCCCCCTCTCCCTCTCTCTTCCATGTGCTTGATTGCCCAGGACCTAAAACCACGTGTTCCTGTCCATCATTAAACCATCTTTCCAAATAGCCTCCATGTTTCCACTGTCTTTCTTTCCACTTGGAACTGAACCCAGATGGACATTTGTTCCAACATCACCCAAGTGTGAATTCTGATCTTTTGAAAGAAGTCACATAGGCTGACATGTTGTAAACAATACAGGAAAATTTTGTATAAAGTTCTGAGGAAACTTTTAGTCAGAGTACTTGAAATGAATCTCTGTCCCAAGGATGTAGCTCTATTTCTGCTGGAGTAAAAAGCTGAAAGATGACTTTCTCATTCCATCATGATTCCTGAGCCACTCACATGGGAAAATAGAACCGAGCTGAGACTCAGGCCATCCATTTTTCTCAGGGTCTCTCCAAATTTATAACAGTAAAATATTAGCCACAAACCATACATACAGGAATATTGTTAAAAGTGGAATCACCCTGAGATTTCTGGTTGCTCATTGTTGGTGTTGCAGTGAAATCCACAATCGTGTGCTTTTTGCTCTGAGCTCACTTGTTGGAGGGTCCCGATCAGGGCTGGCACCACCCTGGAGGGGTGGTGAGGAAAGTGGGAATCACTTGGAGGGTTGAGGGGAATCACAACTCCCCTCCCTGACAAGAAAAACCCCTGCCAAAGCAAGTTGCAGCGGTGGTCTAAAATGGCCACCACAAAGACGAGGAGCAGTCTGGGAAACTAAGACTGTGCTGGAGTGGAGAAGCAGCAAGTGGAGTATGAACCAGGGAAAATACATGGACTTTAAGGTATCCTGGTATTAAGAATAAAAGGACAATTTGAAGGAAAGTTTGTAGAGGCGGCAACCAGAGAGAGTCAGAAGGAAATTTGAACTTTTAAAATTGGCTTGAGCTATTGTAATGAATTAACTTGGAGGAGAAAATTCAGAGGGAAATATTTGATAACAAAAGGCTTGGAAATTAAATTGGATAATTATTAGACTTTTGCCACTTAATAGGCATAAATAAATGCTAGAATTGAATGTGTTGAAAAGAAATAATAGCTAATAATTGAAATTAGCAAATTTAATAAAAGTTTTATGATTAAAAAAAGAAAGTAAAGTAAAAGAAAGACTGGATTGTGGAAAAAGACTCAAGAGTGTCACTTGATGGTACAGGAAAAAATTCAGTGCCTCTTTGAAAAGTGCTTAGTCTTGGCCTTCCGGTTTGCAGGGCTTCAGCAGCAGCAGGAATCCGCAATTGTGCATGGTTTCTGCTTGTGTTCGCTGCTGGAGTGCCCTCAGACAGCTGGCTTTGGGGCTATAGCTACCCCGTAAAGGTAGCTGAAGATAGGGGAGATCCGGCAGGGGTCAGGGAGAATTGCAACTCCCCTCGTCAGCTGGTTTAACTCCCTTTTCCGAAAGCGGTAGAAGTGGCGGTCAGAAATGCCCGCCACAAAGAACCACTCCTCTGGAAAAGAATGTGCAGGAGGAAGCTGAGAAAGTGAAAGTTTTGGCTGACTGGGATAACAAGCAACATTTAAGATACCCTAGAATTTTAACTTTATCAAAGGTACATTGCTCCCAAAGAAGATCTGGAAGCAGTGAATGAAAGTGAAAAGGGAAAGTTTTCTTCTTCTCACTCTCCTTCCTTACGGTGACAGCAGATGAATGAGAAATTGGAAAAACCCACTTTGGCATCATCAGGTAATTAAACTGGGAAATTAAAGCCAAGGGGACAATAAAGATTTCTGAACACTGGAAAACAATTTTTTTTTTGCTGTAAATGGGAAGGGAGAGGAAAAGAATTAAGATTAAGATTTTGCTGGAGGAGGCTGCTTGGAATTTAAAAGACTAGAGCTAAATTGTAACAAGACTTCTAAAAGATACACTTTAATTGGAACTTTTTAACTGAATTGCAACCCCAGGAAGACAAAGTGAAAAAAGGAAGAAAGTGTTAAATGAAATAGCTTGTGTGTATTTGGACTGTTTGGTGACTTTGGGACTTTTGGAAATTATTATTTGAATGATTAAAAACATTTGGGTTGTTTAATTTTTTTTTCTTACGATGGCATTACTTGTGGAGGAACTGAAAATTGAATTTAAAAAATATAAAGAAGAGGAACAAGAAGGGAAGGGCTCTTTTGGCTCCATTTTTCATTTTTTAGAAATGGCGAGTTCTACTTATGAGAAACCACAAGAACAAGAAGATGGGGATGAAGAAGAAGCCATCTTTAATGAACAAGCAACTTTATCTGGGGAAGAAAGGGCAAAGGGGGGAAAGAGAATGGAGAATTTAAGACTTAAAAAAAACAAAAGGGAAAAATAAGGTGAAAAGTGGATACAATGTCAGAAAGCAACAGAAAAAAGGAATGCAGAAGAGGGTGGAGATCAAGAGACAAGGGGGTAAAAAGGGTAGAATGGAGAAGCAAGGGAGGAAGCAAGGGAAGAGAAGCTACAAAGGTCTGAAACAAGATGTAAAGAAACAGGATTTATTTAGAGATAATGGGTAAAAATATAACTGAAAAAGAGATTCTGCAAAGGTACATAAGACTGCATTGTTGTATTTGTATTTGAAATAATGTTAGAAAATTGTAACAACATATGATTATAAAATGGTATAAAATATTTAATGTAATTTAGTGAATTTTTTTTAAATAAAATAAATGAAATGAAATATGAGAGAATTGAACTAAGAAGGAATGGGAACATTTTAACTACATAATATTTTAAAATATATGTGAAATGAGGGGGAAGTAACTAAACAAAATGTATAAGTGTTCCTATAGAAGTATGATATCTATCTGAAAAGGAATGTGTAAAATGAATTCAATTGTTATGGATTGTTGTTTTAATTATATTATATATTTATAATTTTTTCTTATTTTAAAATATGGTGTGTAGCTTTAGAATGTACTTAGCAGAATCCAAATGAAAATTATGTATTATTTTAAATGTTAAATTTAGGGGAAAGATACAAAGGCGTCATACTCCAATCAATGATTGCAGGAGAAATTTTGTGTTAATGAGAAAAGATGATAAAGAGCTGAAACAGGACAGACAAAGGATATAAGTATAATGATTTAAATTGAGATGAAATAAATAAAATAGAATTAAGAGAGTGAAAAGAGGGGAGAAGCTATATAGAAAATGTAGAATGGTAACAAGATATGGAATGGTATATAAAAGTGAGCATGAACTTGAATTTATGTCTGTACAAAGAGATGTAACCCGGGATCAAGCTGCTTTCAAAAAAGATGTTTTATGTTTTTATGTTTTGTGTTTTGTTTGTATATGTTTGTTTTTTAAAAAATTAATAAAATTCTTGGGGAAAAAAAAGAAAAGTGCTTAGTCTTTTTAATAAATTGGACTTTGGAATTTAAAAGAAAATATGAGCAAGTCCATCATAACAAAATAAAAACCCTGAAAAGTAATATTAAAATATTATAAGGGGAAAGATATTTGAAAAGATCATCTTAGAACCACCCAGTGACTTCGGGAAACAGCTGGAAAAGAATTTATCAGAAGACCTAGAAATAAAGACTTATGGATATCGATTGTTGAAAATAAATATAGAAGATGCTGGTTGAAATAACATACTGGATTTGTGGATTTGACATATATATTAAGGAAGAGGGGAAAAACAAAAAAAGGAAAAAAAAAGAAGCAGACACAATGGGGAAATTATTTGCTGAAATAAGATTGGATCTACAAGACCAGAAGGAAATGATGAAAGTGAGACTGGAAATGTGCAGCAATATATTACAGAAATTAGAAATGGTGACTTAGCTTGTAGAAGAAAAACAAAAATAGAGAGAGAGGAGTCAAACAAAGAAGAAACCAGCTTTGAAGTCCAAGTGGAGCAGCAATCATTTAAGCAGGGGGGAAAAGGAATTAAAATTAAGTGAAAATAAAAAGGGGGAATGGTTTGGAAAATGAAAAAAAGGAAAGAGAAAAAGCAGAAAAGGGAAGTACAAAAGAAAGATCAATAGTGGGAGGGAGATAAAAGAAATAACTGGAATGAGAAATAGAGGGGAATAATAATGGGAAAAAAGGGAATTAAGAGAAAGGACTGGAAAATAAAGAGAAACAGGAAGCAAACGAGAATGAAAAGAAACTATATTGTTATAAGAGTGAGAGATAATGGGTAAATAAAAATAGGGAAGGAGATTCTGCAAGGTAATGTGTTGTAATATATAAGAATAAGTACTGAAAATAGACAAGATTGTAGGTGATATTGTTTTTTCTTTTTCTTTTTTATTTAAGGATTATCACTACATTAGATATGGAATTCAATGAAATAAATATGGAAATGGGAATTTATAACAAGAATATGATATATTAATTGATGATTAGTGATGTGTAAAAATGTGAGAAAATGTGTAAAAATATGAGAGAGTAATTAGGACTGCAGAAAAAACAATTACTACCAACCTGCCTTCAATCAATATTTTTAGAAGGCCATGATTTGCAGAGAAGGTAGCACGTTTTTTTATGGGATGTAGGGAAAACTAGTCAGAAATATTTCCACAGACATCTAATCAGAGACTCATTATTAACTAATTGGAAGAAAATACAGAAAAAACACTATTTAAAAGTACCAATCTGGATTTGAACAATGGAGGCGATGATCCACCCAAATAATCTGGATATCACTAAAATGATTAAATATAAGGACCTATTGGATACACAAGAAAATTTGAAATTGCGGCAAGAATTTCAAGAGCGAGGACAAAAAATTGATCAGTGGGCATACCTTCAAATTCAAAGCAGATATAAACAGGACAAGAAAGAATTTGGAATTAACAATAAACTCCAGCAATTAGATAAAATTTTATTAGGATGAGGCAAAAAGAATATAATAAAATTTTATAATTATTTACTAGAAGTTGAAGAAGAAATTGTAAAAGGGAACATGATTGCCTGGAGTAGGAATGTAGCATGTAGCATCACCTTAACAGAATGGGAAAAGGTCTGGGGTAGAAACAATAAGATTACAAAGTCGGTAGCATATAAAGAAAATGCCTATAAAATGTTTTATAGATGGCACCTTCCTCCTTCGAGATTAGCAAAGATGCACCCCAATATGAGTCCGAATTGCTGGAAATGCAAAAAAAAAAAAAAAAAAAAAGTGGGAACTTTTTTCCACATGTGGTGGTCCTGTACAGAAGCTCAAAAATATTGGCAGAAAATTAGAATTTGGCTGGAAGAAATGACAAGAGAGCAGATCGAATACAAATCAGAGTCCTTTTTGTTAGGGATCTTTGATAAACAAATATCAAAAAAAGCAAAATACATAATAATGCACATTTTGACAGCAGCCAGATTAGCTTTTGCCCAATGTTGGAAGCAGCCCCAGGTTCCATCAGAAAAAATGATCATTCAAAAGATTTCAAGTTATGCAGAAATGGACAAATTAATTTTGGCACTAAAAATTAAAGACACCTCAATATACTACAATAGCTGGAACTGCTGGTACAAATGGATAGACCAAAGATAGATTTTGCACTATAAGGTAAAAAGAGGATAGGATAAATCCATAGTAGTGAGATACAGATATATGTAAGGATTAGGTGTGTGTATATGGCATAAATTAAGGGTTTAAAAAAAAGAGATCTTACAAACTGTTGAAGATGAGAATGTTTTTAATTGTTTTCTGTTTTTTCTTTCTATTTTCTTCTCCTTTTTTTCTCTTTTCTTTCATTTGTGTATGTGTGGTTGGTTTGTTTTAATTGTAAAATCAATAAAATTTATTTATAAATATATAAAAAGAATAAGTACTGAAAATAGACAAGATTGTAAGTGATATTGTTTTTTCTTTTTCTTCTTTATTAAAGGATTATCAATACGTTAGATATGGAATTCAATGAAATAAATATAGAAATGGGAATTTATAACAAGAATATGATATATTAATTGATGATTAGTGATGTGTAAAAATATGAGAAAATGTGTAAAAATCTGAGAAAAAAATATGAGAGAGTAATTAGGACTGCAGAAAAAACAATTACTACCAACCTGCCTTTAATCGAGGACCTGTACACTGCACAAATAAAAAAGAGGGCTGTGAAAATATTTACAAACCCCTCACATCCCAGACATAAACTGCTTCAATCCCTTCCCTCAAAACAGCGCTTTAGAGCACTGCACACAAGAACAACTAGACACAAGAACAGTTTTTCCCCGAAAGCCATCACTCTGCTAAACAAATGATTCCCTCAACCCTGTTGAACTATTACAAAGTCTGCACTACTATTACTGTTAATCTTGTCATCACTCCTTATCACCCATCCCCTCCCACTTGTGACTGTATGACTGTAACTTTGTCGCTTGTATACTTACAATTTATATTGATTGTTTCCTAGTATGATTTGATTGCTTATTGTACTCTTATGATTCTTGACTCTCAACAATGTTTCTTTCCTTTTATGTATACCGAGAGTATTTACACCAAGACAAATTCCTTGTGTGTCCAATCACACTTGGCCAATAAAGTATTCTATTCTATTCTATTCTATTCTATTCTATTCTATTCTATTCTATTCTATTCTATTAGAACTACTATGGAAAGATTAATATCAGTTGCTATAATTAAATGACTAGATTAATATATTAGCAATGTATAGATAATAATTATGGTGATTGAGAAAATGTTGTGCAGAATCTGATGCAAAATATGTGTATACCTGATATATAGTAAATAGGGAAATACTGTTATTAAGTAGAATGAAGGTAGTAAACCCAAATTAACAACCAAAGAGGACAATTTCTACAATTAATAGCATATGGATTGATAAAATTGCAAATACGACAGATAAAGACAACAGGGGATATGAATATAGAAACGAAATAAGAATTTTAAATAATATTGTAAAATAAGATATGAGAATACTTTAAGAAAAACTATAATATGAATGGTGATGTGATATGAAACTGAATAAGTAAGATGAATAGGTAACTATGGTCATGTTTGTGTTGAGATATGAAATGTGGAACCACACTGCTTGCCAAATGAGAACTTTTATTTTAAAAAATGAAAAATGTGTGAGGAAATTTAATATTGAAAATACTAGGTATGTTTCAATGATATGATGATTTTCACTAGGAGAGAGTATGGAAATGTTGAAAAATTAAGCAATGAAAGATTATAACTTGATGTGAATATGTGTATTAAGAGACACGATTAGTTTTATTAATTTTGCTTGTACTAAAATGTATGATGTATTAATGCCAAACTGTCTATATATATTGATGTGTGTGTGTAGATTGAAATAAAAAAAAAACTTGATTATAAAAAAGGGGAATCACCCTTTTAAAATTAGAAATACCAAGATATATCTGGTATCAGCTCCTTGGTAAATTATTCCCCAAGCAACTAGATTGGCCATATCTATTGGCCTTTTGTAGCAGAAGGAGTTGATATGATTCCCCCCTTTCTCTAATGGATTCATTCTCCAGAGGAATTTAGTTTGTTGGATCCTTGTGGGGACTCCATACCTGCCACGGCTGCAGCCTTGGAGCCTCCAGTATTTCTTGGGCCTCCTTCCTTCTCTTCCAGGATCTGGATGAATAGGCAGCCTTTAAGACATGGGCCAGAGTCATAAAGATCACGTAAACAGAGTCACTGTTTTCAACCAACTTCCCGTTCAATTCATCTTCTGTCTCTACTGGAGTTTTTTGGGTGCATCTTTTCCGGCCTTTGACAGAAAAGACATGCTTTGGAAAAGAGCAGTGAAAATTCTTGTCTTCATACTGGGAGTCTACAAAGGAAAATGGTTCAAAAGTGTCATATTCTGGCCTTATCATTTGCATAAATTCAAAGCTCCAAATACTATGGATGTATTTGTGATATCCAAGATGAGTCATTATATAGTTTCCCAGAGCTGTGGTGATCCAGATTTTAATGGGTCTAATGGGTCCTGACAAAACGTCAAGTGTTAGTTGAAAAATATGAAATAAGTTTGAAATGATAATATGTTCTGTTAAGTGAACAAAGACATTGACTTGTTTCCACTGAGAAAAGCTGGAATCCCTCAAGGGTGCTAAATCTTCAGTTTTTGAAAATTGTTGAGATATAACAACACAAATTCCATTCCTGACAAGCACAGGAGGAAAAAAACTCAGGAAATTTTCTCCCTCCTCTGTGTCTGGAGCAAGGAGACCAATCAAGGTCCATCTGAAGTGCAGGAGCACTCGGACAATTGCTGAATACTGAAACCCTTCTTTGGGGAGCATCCGGTGGAAAAAAGGGAAATTATTCTTATTGCTCAGAGTCTTTGAAGCCATTCTTTGACTGATCTGGAAAAGCAATAAAGAATGCTGTGTTATAATCCTGTTGTAACTTGACTTGTTATATAGGTCAAGTCCAAAATATGAGTTTTTTATTAATCCAACTTTGTTTTGATAAACATCTTAGAATAGATTGTTGATTAGCCATTGTTTAAAATATTAAACACAGAATATTAAGAAGGCTTTATATAAAAATGGAAGATGAGAAACAAATTAAGTAAAAAGGAAACAATAAAAACACAAATCATATTTCTCTATCACCCCTACAATTTAATGCAATTAGATTCACACGTGCAGATGTTAACTGAAGTACATTGTTCCAATAAAGAGCCATATTTAAGATTGCTACATCATTCTTTGCTTCTATATTTAAGATTCTTTTTATTTTCTTCTCTAATTGTGCAAGACATAGGAGACCATAGTTCCTCATATAATTTATCAGTTGTATTAGCCGAGAGGTTTCTAATTGAAATTTTGTCTGTTCTAACAGATACAATTTTGGGAGTCTGTAGTTTCTATAGCCTTCACTTTACACCAATAATTAATGATGTTAATTGATGTTGATTAACATGATGTTGGTTTATTGATGTAGATTAACATCAGACCAATAATCAAGAAGTAAACAATATCCCAATCAAGGAACTGCCGAACAAACTAACAGCCCAACCAAACATCTCCAAGACCATTCCCACCAGTGCTTAGAGGGCAAATCATTAGAAGATAAACTTGAAAGCATACCTCACACTCCTTACTAGCACTGATGGTTTTACCTAGTTTGGCTAATGAAATGTCTGCAAGAAAATAACCAAGCTCAGAAAACAGCAAGAAACCTTCATTTCAAGCTACAGATATGGTCCTTTATCAATTTGATGCCACCCCCTATTGATGCAGCCTAGTCTGCATTGGCTTTTTTGGCAACTGCAACATACTGGTGCCTAACCCTAACCCTTTGGTTGGAAACAGAGCCTCTCCTCACCTTCACAAGTATGTATCAGAAGCCCCCAAAGCAATAGAGATGCTATCAAGAGAGCATTGATAGCTATGGCTATTTTGATACATGCTCCCATTCTAATGTGTATTCCAGTTTCCAGTGTCTATAATGGACATAGTCAAAAGCAGGTCTTGAACCCCATAGAGAAGATACAGTAGAATCTATCCCGCATCCACTACCACCCCATTCACTTTACTATATATAGAGAAACACACACACACAAACCTGTGGGACTTTGTAGGGGCCTACTAATGTTGACATCTGGATGGAAATCTCCCTGTCAGCTGCATCAAAAAGAGTCAAAAGGTTGTCCTTCTTTCCACAGCCGTAATTGGGAACATTGGCTTTTCCGGTAGAGAGCATGTCCAGCAAGACATCTGAAGTGCCAAGAGTTTTCAAATAGTTGTCATGGATATTGTAGCCAAATGTGAGATTGCACAGGAACTGGATATTCTTGTTGATCTCTTGAATGGTGAAAATAAAGCGTTCTATTCCTTTGGATGTGTAAGGTTCACTTGTGTGAAAAAATGCTTTGGTTAATAAAAGCATCATCAACAGCAATAATACAATTTTTCAACTTCATCCTTTTCATAAACACATGACTATTAAGTCTGAAGCCAATACTGACCAAAAAGCAAAGGCAAATGATAGTTACAAATTTAATATTTGTAAATGTTGAAAAAATGAGAAGCAGATAAAAAGCACAAATAGTCCATTATTTATAGCAGCAATAATTTTCATCAGCACAGTACCCTGTCTGCAAAATTTCATTTTTTAAAGTACAACCATCATAAAAGGAAGAGGATATTTCTTAAGTGACCTAGAAAAGCTGTTCTAAAATAAAGTCATTCTCTATTCCTGTAAGGGATCAGGCATTCAATATCAATGAGCAATTACTCATACATGAAAATTTAACTACAACTATCACTACTTCAAACAAAAGTCAGTATTCAAATCATGAATTCTAGATTGGATGTGGAGAGGAAAATAATTTGGACTTCTTTCAGGTATTTTTTTCGGCTCCATCTTTGTATTTGTTTCTCTTCCCCTAAAAAGACAAAAGAAGAAACCCACAAAAATCTGATCAATCAATAAAATTAATCACTTCCTGAAATATAGGAGTAAGCAGGGTATGGAGAAAAGAATTAGAGTGTTAGAACTTCAGATGGAAGGAATACAATTTTATCACACTGAATCACTTACAAGTAAGACAGACTATAAGGAAGCATGTCGAAAAGCAACATTTCTTGGTTTAGTGTTACTGCACTGGTGACTACACCGATGAGATGGTCTCCTGGCCTGTAGTAGCTCCATGGTCTTTCTCTATCCAGGTGCACCATATTCAGCGGGCACTTCATTCTAAGCTTCCCAGAGACTGTCTGGGACACCAGTAGCATTGAAAGCAGAAGCAGGAGGTCCATAATTCATGAAGCTGAATCAATCACCTGTTTCCAAATAAGAGTTAGATGATTTCAAAGCACCCTCAGAAAATGGAATATCCAGGAGCTTTCCTTTTCCAAACAGAAACAAATTGAGCTTTATCTGGGAAAAAGAAAAAGGTACATTCAGCCTCACAGCTCTTGCCTGTGTCCTCAATCTTGTTCAAACCATTCAGCATGAGTAGAGGCTTATATCTTCTTCTGATGCAAGATCCATTCCATGTTGCTTCAGTCTGGCATTATGTCAACATCAGTCACTGGAAAAGTAACAGTAGACACCTCAAAGTCTGGGATTGTGATAATTATTGTGAGTGATAATTGATACTCAGGACCTCTTCCAGGGCTCCATGTAGAGTGGGGCAGCTGTAGAAAAGGATTTTGTGAAATGTTGCAGATACATCCCTGGAGACACTCTTCTACAATGGTTGTCATCCTTCCTCTCAGGATAAATCTAGAAAATGATGTTGGAGGAAGATGCTTCGATACCCAGGGAATTTACTTCTGCTGTCTGCCATTCTGGCATATGGTCTCCAGAGAATGCTAGAGAAGATCACCCAGAGCTATGCAGTTTGGTGGCACTCTAGGTTCTTGACACTTAACTCTAATGATCTCTGATACCTTCTGCACCCTTGAACCCTGCCTAATGTTAAGAGCGTGTCTTTGTGATTTTCTTTTCTATGACATCTCCAGATATTAATCCTAATTTGGAGCTGATTTTAAAATACCTTGTGTCTGAAGAGATATTTCATTTCCAACTGTTCTAGAAGTATAATTCTTTTGGATGAGACCTGACTAAGAGGCAGGAAAGTGGCAGTCTTTAGACTCTATTCTTTAGTAAATAGGGAGAAATTTACAGAAGAGATAGAAAATTGTATTTTCCTTGACTCTTTGTTGTCCTTCAATATTTATGGAAAATACTGAAATCCTTTGTATTTTGAAGTTTCATAGTTTATTGAATAAAGAATGGTGATGAAGTGTGCAGCTGAGTTGGTTGTGGTGCTCATGGCATGGTGTATGGTGTGACCTCATTTCTTGCCAGACTTATCAAGAAACTGATTTAGAGATACACAGTGGCCCTTTCTCTGCTTTTATAGATGTACTTAGTGGGATGGGCCCCATCTGACATTCCCATCTCTCAGGCTTTGTGTGACACCTCCACATCAAACACAAGTGCTTTGAGGAGCAGTTGGGAGACCTGTGTTCCTGGTTTACCTGGGTAATTTATTGTTTAGGTTATGTTTCTTACCTGGAGAACAGATGGAAATGAAATGTCACTTGATACGTGCAACTTGTCTTTGAATGGAGAACTTGGGGTTTGAGTGAGAGGAGAGAGCTGAGGAGATAGACAGATCCATCCTGGTGAGGAACAGGAAAAGTGAGAAAGTTTCCCCACTGTATGGCCTTCAACTTCTACTCTCAGAGTCTGGGTCTCCCGAAGTGGGTGGAATTCCCCTTTTTGGTCAGATATTTTTGGAAGATGAAGATGGCGGCTCCCAACTAGGAAGATGAAGCTCTCGCTCCTGGAGCACTATTTCCCTATAAAGCCACCACCTGCACCAGAAATCACTTTTAAAGCTGCTGCTTGCACCAGTAACCGTGAGTAAACCTGATCCCCCAAAACAAGCCCAAAAACGCTGGATTCTGAAGCCGTGGAGCCCTAATAATGCTAGCAGAGCTCCTGCTAATTGATCCGGAGGCCTCCTCTCCTTCCCCAGAGCTCTTTCCATTGAGCCCTATTAACCACACTGGTGGAGCTCTTGAACTGGATCACTTGGAGCCTGAGGAGTACAAACAACGTACCTTCATTTAAATCCCTCACACAGCTGATAGAAGTATCTTCCACACCAGACAACGCGTTTCCATTAATATCCCCCACACAGTTTCCCTGGAGCCACATCGGACAGCTGGCAGGGAGAAACAAGGAGGGAGGAGAAAGCCCTGAGGCTCTTAGGAGCCAAAAGTTACCCTGGACGGCAGAGGAATGCTTCGGTTGTTGAGAGGAGAGGACAGTCTCCTTGACTGACCCGAAGAAAACCCCTCCATCCGAACTAAAAAGAGAATTGCCTGCATAGCTAAATCAAAACCAGTAAGTCAGCTGAGACAGAAGTGAAAAAGAAAGGAAAGATCTTGTAACAGCATGCTTAGTCTTGGTTAGAATCACTCAAATTTCTGCAGTGGAATTTCCTCGGAAAGTGGGACTCAAAGGAGGAAAATAACTGTGATTAACGATCTGGAGTGACAGTCAGATTTAGTTAAAAAAAAGGTATTGCAACTAGAAGTAACTTTAAAAGTAAAGGACAGATTGGATTAGTTAACCCAAATTTATGAACTGTATTTTTAGTACTACTCAACTTGAAGAACCTAATCTTACGTAGCTTTTTCTCTGGTAATATCACACTACTAACTAGAGCATACAAAACATTTGCTAGACCAATACTCGAATACAGCTCATCAGTCTGGAACCCACATTATGTATCTGATATTAGCACAATTGAGAAAGTCCAGAAATATTTCACAAGAAGAGTTCTCCACTCCTCTACTCGTTGTAAAATACCTTATGCCACCAGACTTGAAATTTTAGAACTAGAAAACCTTGAATTACGCCGTCTTCGGTCTGATTTAAGCATGGTATATAAAATCATACATTGCAATGTCCTACCTGTCAATGAATACTTCAGCTTCAACCATAACAACACAAGAGCACACAACAGATACAAACTCAAGGTTAACCGCACCAAGCTTGATTGCAGGAAATACGACTTCGGCAACAGAATGATCAATGTCTGGAATACTCTACCCGACTCTATAGTTTCTTCCCCAAACCCCAAAAACTTTAACCTTAGACTGTCTACTATTGACCTCACCCCTTTCCTAAGAGGTCTCTAAGGGGCGTGCATAAGCGCACCAACGTGCCTACCGTCCCTGTCCTATTGTTTATTTTATTTTTCTTTTATTTTTCTTATATGTACCCATCTCATGTATTCATAACTATGTATACACTTATACTTATTATCTTGTAAACAATTGACAAATCAAATAAAATAAATAAAAATAAATAAAAATAAATAAATATCTGTCCTTGACAATATGTAATTTTTCCCTAGGGGAGAGGAGGAAAGATGGCTGTTGACATTTGTGGTTTGTTTCAGTCTTTCAGAAGGCTGAACTTAAACTTGCTTCTTGTCTCCATTTGGCTATGAGAATCTTCCCTGATTTAGTGAAGTCTATGGTGTGAATGGCATCCTTGCAGGAAGAAAAATGTCCCTTATTATTTCAGTTACAAACTACTGTTCAGCTTTTCTCCACTAAATTAATGTGCTTCAGAGTTCCAGTAATTCACTGCCTCATCAGCCAACAGAGTTGACTTCAGAAAACAAACCATAGTTGAAAGTTACAAATATGAATGGAGCCATTGGAGATGTGACCAGGCTAAGTGGATTGTATGGATATGAACCAGACCAATTTGGTATAGTGATTGAGGCACCGGGCGATCATAACATCAAAGGCACTGACTGTAGCCGAATAGATCTAGCACCAGAATAGTGATATATATCACCAGAATGGTGATAATTATGATAAGAAGCAACTTCTCCTCTTGGGATCCTGAAGTTCATGTAAGTCAAGGGTGTCAAACTCAAGGCCCAAGGGCTGTCTCCAGCACTCAGGGTGCTTAGATCTGGCCCATGGGCCACTCTGGAAACAGCAAAAGTCTGGCCCACAGTGCCACTGCCAGTGAAAACAGAGCCCGGGAGGGGCTCCTGTGGCCCTCCCGAGCTCAGTTTTCAGCTGCAATGGCCTCCTGCAGTCTCTGCCGCCAAAAGCAGATCACAGGGGAACTCTTTTTTTTGCTGCCAGAGGGCTGCAGGAGGCCATCCTGGCCAAAAAGGAGCCATGAGGGATGTGTGCAACCACATCTGAGCTCCATTTTTGCTGGCAGAGGGCTGCAGGAGGCCACCCCAAAAGCATCATTTATGCTGGAGGAGTGTTCGGGCCACAGGCATCCCCAACATAAGTGACATCAAGCTGCCATGCCCACCTTGGCCATACTCACACCCAGTCCTCTGAGGTCAAAAACAACCCTGATGTGGCCCTCAATGAAATTGAGTTTGACACCCTTGATATAAGTAAAAAATCACAAATACATCCCAGGAAGTGTTGCTGTCCTTCCTGTCAGAACATGTTCAGAAAGTGATTCTGGAGGAAAACAGTTCAACATCTAGAGAATTGACTTCTGCTATCCTTCATCATGGCGTCTTATCTCCACTGTTGATGACCAAACTCTTATCCTGCTTGTTTTCTAGTTCAACTATCCTTGAACCCTCTCTAATGTTAAGAGTAGGGTTTCTCTATGATTTTCTTTTGTATTAGATCTCCATTTTTCAATCCTAAACTGGAGCTGCTGTCAGCCTTCAAGATCTTCTACTTCTGCTTTGCGCTTTTTGGCTGCCATAAGTAATGGGGGGAGGAGGGGGGACAAGTATGGGAAGCGAGCTGGAGGTGGTAAATCTAGCATTGTATAAACTGAGGAGGGGGGAGAGTACATTCTTGCTTAGTTTCTATTTCTTGCTTAGCTTTCTTTTCTCTGTGCAGCTGCAAACCTTTATCAAAATATGCCAAGGTCAATGGACAGAAGCCTCAACACCACCTGGACATGCCCACATGATGATATTCACAACTTTTAATTGGAAGAACCATTTGAACTATTGGGGGTGGGAACATTTCCATCACTTTGTATATGTGATTTACGTGCCTATTTCCTCAGATTCAGAATCCTCTTGTTGCTACCACTTCATTTCCAGTAAAAGACATATTTTTTCTAATTAAAAGAGTCTAAGTATTTCTTTCTTGGATTTTGAATGGAGCTCCAGCTGACATTATTCTGAATCTCACCCTACCAGCCCACCCGGAGAGATAATACAATTTCTTCTGAGGGGGTCTGAACATCATGTCAACTCCAACCAGTGACCAAGAGGAACTGGGTG